AAGGCTAAGTATAAAATGTTTAATAAAATAAAAATACAATATAAACTTAACAAAATTAATGCTTTAATGAAATTCAATGATTTTACTTGCTTGTAGAACTACAATTAAATAAATTTTAGAAATTTCTAATTCATCCAAAAATAAAAAAAAAACTCACTCACCATTATTATTTAAAATATTTCAAGTCATAAAGCTGCTGCTTATGATGAGATTTCAGATTATTTCCTCTAAAAACTAAAATCTATCAAGTAACTATTGCTAAACTCTACTTTGGAATATCCCTCTTGCGGTTAATAAGAATAATTACATTAAATACTTTTTTTTCTTCCTAGTACAAATTTTTAGTCCAATAACTGTGCTTAGCTCTTTAGTCAAATTTCTAGAATTACGATTATGTCCACGATTACATGAAAACAAAATAATGAAATTATTGAAGTGAATTTGTTCCTTTTTATTAAAATCCTTAATTTAATCAACTCCTTTTGAAAGGCTGATAAAATTGCAGCTTGTAGAATTCTCTGTTTACTTTTAATCATTGATTATCAGTTTTTACACAACTTCATCACCCAGATTAGTGTAATGATAAATAAACAATACATTTTTGGGGTATAACTCTGATTATAATTAAAATACAGGCCTTTTTTTATTAATATAATTTGCTTTTATTCTCTCAATCTATTTTTAATCAAGCAAAGATTGTCTGGCCTATATTAAAACATCAAATTTTAATCTGAAAAATTTGATTTCATTCTAATGAAAGCGTTAGATTGTAAGCTGCTTGTTAAATTATTTGATAAATGATTTTGCCATATTCTAGAAATTATATCGCAAGAACGAAAGGCTTTACACCTTACTTTTTGATATTTGGAAATAAATTATCTTAATGCAACTTCTATTAAAAATTTCAGATTGATTTATAAGAACTTTTGGAATTTGGATGAAGTAAAAAACGAGAACCCCTGAAGGCAATTGAATAAAATTGTAAAAATTATCATCGTGACTGAGTGTGTCTATTGCTTAATTTCCAAGCAATGATAATTTGTTAATAAAAAGTGACTAATTATTTGTTTAATGTCTTTTTTATTAAATTTGTATTTTTGCTTTGGTTAATGATTTTGACATTTTAATGTAGTTTCAATATTAACATTTTGTTGTTTCTATTTAATTTTTCTTTAAAATAAATAAGAAGTATATGACGGAATACCTGTTCTTAATTTTGAAAGTAATTGATTAAATTATTGATTTATTGTTACCTATTCATTCTTAATAAGAACCTCAATAAATTATATATAAATAATATATAATCAACCTATTAAACTAGTTTCGATTGTTTCCTACATACTGCAACATACAAAGAGCCGTTACATATGCTACATTTCCCTATTGGATAATAGAAAATTAAAACCTTTAGAAACCACCCTATTCCAGTACGATCTATTCTTTTGAGTATTGGCAGTTGACCAGTAATTTTATGGGGAATTGATTAAATACTATAGATTTATATTAAATAAACATCAAATGATTGTAATTGTAAAACCAAGTTGACAATTTCCTTTTAAGAATGTCTTATATTTGAAACAATCTGCTGTTGATGACTGTGGTTCAATAGCTATTCGCTTCCTATCTGGAGGTGTATAAATTTAACAATATTTCATGGTGTCTGATTCAATAATTAATGTATATTTGCTACTTACTAACTTAATAAAGATTTTATCCTCATTATTTGTAAAGCATGTATCGAATTATTGATTTCTTAAAGGTATTACTGCCAAATCTACATCTTCCCATTATAACTAATCACCAATTGGGATTAAATCTTTGTTAACAACTAACCTTTTAGTTAAATTTGTAATCATAATTACATCATCAATATTTTCAAAATTAAAATATGGATGATAACCTATTCCGTACTCAAATCCTTAATTATCGGAAATATTAAATTATAAAGATAACTAATTATCTTTCGTAAATGTGTAAATCTCTGTAAATTGGCTTTGTTCTTAATCATGGTCTTTTGATGTTAAGCATGTTTAATTCTCATTTCCCTCTAGTATTTATCTCTCAGCATTAACATATAACCCATGTAATGGATAACCATTTGAATCACGAAATTAACATTAAACATTTTTATCACTTAGTCGATTAACCCATGGATACATTAGATAACAACCATTTCCTAATATATCATCAGATTCATTCCCTTCAATTATTAAATGACCAGATAAACATAATTCTAATATTTTCCCATTCTTCTATACAATGCTATTGTTTTTTTGCATTATTTTAATTATGAAATGATTAAATTTGTTTTCTTTAATTGCACCTTAGATTGTATGAAAAAAAAATATGAATTAATGAAGTCTATATATGAGATTAATAACTATGTTATTAATTTATTAATCCCCATTTCTGTTGGATAATAAGGTTATTTTGATACAAGGCTTCTATATATCAAAAACAACAGTAGTATATTCTAAAGAATTTATGGGATTTAAAAGTAAATATCAAAACAAAATTAATTTAAATGTATAAAAGATCAAACAATTTATTAGTGAATTGTGAAATCATTGAAACATAGTAGTGGCTTAAAGAATTATAAGAGAAAAATATTTAGGACTTTTAGATCAATTTATTTAGAGTTTGGTGCATGGATATAAGCAATGATTTAAGTTTAATGGCTATTGGTGGTATTAGTTAGAATCACACTATTTTTATTTATAATCAACCTTACATGACCTTATGTAATCAAATATAAGCCACTTCTCATTAAGTTTACCTGTTATAATTCTCTTAACGTGATAAATATTTATGCGCTGGTTGTTATGGGTAATAAGTACTTTTATGGGATGTAGATGATGTTAAGCAAATTTAAAATGTATAATATAAAATGGTTATTAAAACAGAATTTGGGGTAATTGCAAGAATCGTATTTTTCAATAATGAGAGGCAACTATGTTTTTAGGGATTATCTCACTTATTTATAATAAATTTGGAGACAAATAATTAAGCAAAAATTATAAAAATAAATCATAAGCCATCATCATTTGATATTAATCAATCCAAGCTATACGAAGTTGGAAAAAGCAGCATCATTTATATAAGAGATATCTTTCGAGAAAAAATTTTAAGATTTATATGTTGTAGCCAATCTTAGCTTGCTGAAATTGTTGTATCAAGAAAAAACCATTTTATAGTTGTATCCAGCTAGCAGAATTTATATTATTTTAATACAATAAATGGAAGGCTTATTCGAAAAAGTAGAACAAAAGGAAGAGCTTTATCGATAAGGCTGTCCTTGGATAATAAATTATTGATATTTTTTAGCATCCAGCCTTCAGAACAGTTTGACAATATATACTTTGTTAATTTGGAGACAGGCTAACTGTTATTAATTTATACAACTTAAATTTCTCAACCCTCTTTTATATATAAAATGATGCCAAAAAAATTTATTTTCGGTAAAATTAATTCAATTGAAGTTTGGAACTTTATGATGTGAACCGTAATCTTGATTTATATTGTTTCTTATATTATCAAAAATCTTAATTATTATTAACTATGCCAATGTATTCAAAGATATATATATTAAATATAAATTATAATGATTTATTAATACATAAAACATTTAATTTCATTGTAAATTTAAAATGTCCTTTTTTATTTCTTATTATATAACTCTTGAAATTCCTCTTCATTTGCATATCCATCTTACTAGGGCCTCTTATTGAAAATATCATTTCATTTTAAAATTTATAACCCAACCATTTCACACATTTATATCTTTTAATTTATATTTATTTCAACCAATTCAATTTAATGCGTATTATAGTAATTAATCTTAGGTGTTTATTATTAGTGATATGATGACATAATTTTGGTTTATTTTGCTTTATAAGCGAAATCTCTGAAGAAAATAATAAGATCATAAAATATCGAATAAAAATGTTTATCCAGATGCTATTTTTAATAATTGTTTTTTTAAATTCATGAGCATAATAGGTTTATGAATAAAATACACACATTGCATTCAAAAATTCAAATTCAAAATAATTGAATCCACATAAAAGCAACTTTGAGGAAGAGAAACCTTCAGGCAGTAAATTCTGATTTTCCTATCATTAATACGCCAACTTCATTACTTGGGATATGCGGTTGATTTAGGCATATTAGCAAACAGATATGGAATACTATTATAATATTAAATTGAAGTGCATGCCATAATCATGACATATTTGGATGTTATTTCTAAATACAACATTTGAATCTAAAAATGTTCCCATAAGGCAGTATACATGTGTTTCTTCTATAGCTCCAGGGAATGTCAATTATAGAAGGGAACTATTAAAATATGTGGAATTTATTGTTATGAATAGTTAAGAAACTAAATACCTCTCTAACCTAAATACTTGAATGAGTTTTCTATGATAATAAAATTTTATGATTCTTAGAATGGATTCTCGAAATATGTCCATAATCATAAAGGTGAGTTTCATGACATCCAAAGACAATTTGGACGGCCTTATGGATTCCAAATCAAGGCAAAATTGTAATTATTTGTGGGCACTGGAATATTCCACTTTTGATCTTTTTGGATTTTTTTTGAAAACCATCACTTACTTGATCACTTTGAATAATATGGAAAGTAATTGAATCCGCATGAATGTTAATTTAACACTAATATTCATATTACTCTATTTTTTGTAGTTGCTAATAGAGCGGAATTAATTGGATCAGATACTCTTTTTCCAATAATATAATTATAAAAGAAATTAGATCAGAAGTTTAGAGATTGATAATAAAATAAGAGGAGAAAATTTGAAGTGGTAGAAACTATTGATGAAAGATTCAGCAAAGTGATGTTTGATAGAGCACTAGGCAAAAATTTGGATTATTAGCAATATTTGGGCCTCCTTAAATGCAAGCCACTGTTCCACCAATCCTTCAAGAATGGTAGTATAAGACCATCTAGTTCATTTCATTTGGGATATTAATATTATAATATGTAACATCTTAAATTATCAATTTCCTCATTGAACTAATCATTTTTATACTCTGGAAATTTCAAAGAGATGTCCTATTAACAGCTAATATCATATGCAGAAGGTCGATTAGGCCGAGTTCTCCCTCCTGAGTTCCAATTTTTCTATGTAAATTCTGAGGGCATTTAATTTGTTGTTAATAGTGAGGAATAAATACAGAAGGTAAAAAGTGAGAATCAGCAAGTAATCAAAATCATTCTTAAAGAAAAAGAGAAAGAGAAAGTTTATCATCCAAACACAATTTGCAGTCAATGTCACTCCTCTCCAATTATGAATGCTAGATACAAATGTATTGTCTGTGAAAATAGGGAGTTTTGTGAAAATTGTTTAGACCATGGTTAAGTTCATCCTTTGTTAATTATATCCAATCCAGAACAAGAGTAATTTTTCGATGGTTTTTTTAAAACATCCATGAATAAAGTGAAGAACCTATTCAATTGTTAATATAGTAAAACTAAAAAATAGTGTCATAGATTTAAGAGATGCGTTTTTGAAGAAGAAGTCAGAGCTATTTGGAACAAATCAGAAGAATCATTAATTATAATAGATTAGTTTGGAACATAAATAATTATAATAAAAATAGGGAAATTAGCAATAAATTGAGGATGAGTTTAATAATAAAATATTAAACTTAAGTGAGATATTTGAAGGTACTCCAGAATAATTTGAAAAGATTGTTAAATAAAATTAACACTTATCATTAGAAGAATTAGTTGAGTTGATATCAGATTAAACTTAATGATTGCTTATTATTTATTTCAATATATATAATTTAAATGCACATTTGCATAATATGTACTTCAGAAACAGATTTTCCAACAAAATGTGACTGTCACTTTTGTTTATTATGCTTGCTAAATTGGTTTGAAGAAAAAAATAGAGATAAGCCAATAGAAATACTTAATTGTCCAAATTAAGATTGTAAATTCACCTACACTAGAGAGGAAATATTAAGTTATTGTTCTCGATAACCTTATGAGGGTAGGATTCAAGAAATCTTGCTCAAAGAATATCTAAAAAGTCAAGATATACGTCCGTGTCCAAGTGGAAAATGCAAATATTTTGGATACATTGAACTCGGTAATAAATGCGATGACGAACTTGAGTGTTTAGATTGCAAAACAACATGGAGAGACTTTGCCTTGGCTTCATACACATTTTAAACAGAATAATTGATAAAAAATATTTTTGGAATCATTAGAGAATTTTGCTATTGTTTTATTACTGCAAATGAATGTCCTAATTGCGGAGTTTTAATCTAAAGAAATGGAGGTTGTAAACACATGACGTGTAAAGCATGTGCTCATCAATTTTGCTGGTATTGTAAATAATAATGGGGAAGACATAAAGAATCCTAATGTTTTGGTTCAGGAGCAATATCAATCGTGTTACTTATAACTATGGGCATCAATATTTTGTATCAGCTTGGAATATTCTACTATTTTCTCTATGTATTTTATCCTTTGTTTTTGCTATTGGAGCTATTAACCATGAATGTATTAGTAGTAGGAACTGGCTTTGGGATATTTCTCTTGTTTAAATCAATTCTCGATCTTAAGAATAATAGGAGACGCATTTGTGATAATCTAATTGCCTTAGGAGGATCGATTTTATTGTTGACCCTTGAATATTTAGTCTTATGGTTTTCTATGGCCTATTTAGATATAACATTTTCCAAAGCAGTCGTTGGGTTCATCATAGAGATTTCAATTATTATTTTAATGATCTGTTACTTCAACAGAGTCGGCTTTGGATGGATATCCCTTCCGGTGCTAAGTATAGTTTTATTTTACTTTCTTGGAATTAATGGGGTGATCATAATTATTTGGTAAATTCCAATGATAATTGGTCATAACAATTTTCTAACATAAGTTGGGTTTAATGTTTTAGCCTTAGGTTTACTGGTAATATTCAACATTTTTAGTTTATCAGAATTGTTTAGCTCATCACTAATATATTTAATATTGGGATCTACAGTATTGCATTATCGCAAAAATTCCCATATAGGTAATTTAATGTTTGTAGGCATTGTAGCATTATCTTATCTTTATGGATTAATATTTGGTTGACTTATATTTTTCATATTTATTAATTAAATGTAATAAAAATCTACTTCTTATGCAGGATAAGCCCTTTAGCAAATTGCATTTGAGATGGGAAAGCCAACCTCCTTTGGTAGAACCATACATTGCAATGTAAATAATTTAGTTTATTTTAGTCTCGAAGAAAATTGGTATGATACAAAAGACTCATTCAAATAGATGAAGTAAGAAAATTTCGATGAATTCAAAATTCCAAAGAGAATTGGTTAATTGCTGATGGAATATGTTCAAAGACCTGATAATTAGAAATAAAACTGGCAATTAGAATTGGCTAAAATATTTTCAGAAATTTCAGATTAGGATTAGCTTTATAAAACATTAGAAATACTTTTTAAAATAATTTCCGTCTAGATAAATAGAGGATTAACATCTCCTCTAAAACTCTTTAGAGTAACATTTTAAAATACCGATCTGCATTAAATTATCTAGCGTATTTGGGTTGGAAAATAGAAGCTGAATTATTACTAGTTGAATATAAAATGGAACAATAAGCTCTTTGGAAGGAGGCCGCAGAAGAATTAGTGAATTATACATAAAAGAAATCCGGATTCAATCCAAAAGCGGCTATCATTCACACTTCATCTTAAAATGTATCCATCACCTCCGAATTAGCCAAAAAGGAAGGCTACGATGTTTATTCATTCTCTTAGAAACTTGAACAATTGCATCAGAAAAGATTTGTAATATAAATTAGTAATCTTAGTAAATTATGAGCCAGCCCATATCTAATAGAGAAATTAAAGTATTTATTGGTAGAAAACAACAATCACCAGTGTAATTGCAATAGCAAATCCAAGGATAAGACGATTACGAAGAAGTACAACCTTAAAAAGATTAACAGCTTTTGCAGTTTCTTTAATAGGTTGCATAGGTATAATTTAAATGATTAAGTCTTTAATAGTCATTAGAAGAATAGTAATTTGCATCTAAAAGAAAGAAGGAATATTTGGACCTTCTTAGCAAGCCAATATTGCCAAAACAGATATTAGAGTCTAATTTCCAAATAGCGTAATTGTTTAGGCTATCTTTGGTCCATTAGAGACATTAAAAACCTTATATGATTTGATATAGGATGTAAGAATATTGAAATTATATGTTATGCTTAGATGTTAGAAAATAGTAACCTTGATTTCTACTTGTATACTTCCCCTCCTCCACTTAGAATGACATAAAAGCATTTAAATCAAACCTTTGATGACTTAAATTCTGTTCCAAATGGATTATTCTATTTTGGAGTTGAAAAGCAGACCTCAAACTTCTATTTGAAAGAATAATGGATGCAATGTGCTAGGGAGTTATGATTATTTTTTTTAGAAACATTATTTATGTCATTAGTATTTGAATAATATAAATGAATTGAAATTCCTAATTAAGTATTAAAAGATCATATTTTTTTCTAAATTTAAGCGGACATCAGTCCTGTAGTTGTTTAATACATCTAAAAATGATGTTTCATTTCATACATTTGATTGTGACTTTTAATCTGTACCCCAAGGAGCTTAAGATTTTATCTATTACTATGATTGATTCTTTGGTTTAGTTGAGGAAATTGTCATCTATTACATTAATGATCCTAATTATTCCATTTTCTAAGGCGTTACTGTATTTTGATAGTACGAGGTCTAGGAGGCCAATTTTTAATTGCCATTCTATTATCTATTCTCGAAATATTATGAGAAGATAACAAAATTGTTATTCTAAGGTATATAATTTGAGAGATGATAATGCTTTTTTAAAAAGCCAAGTAATTTCGGAGATGGTCTGTCATACGCTATTTTCTCTGGCATAATATTTTCACACCTAAGCATTTCTTCAAATAGTTCTTTGCCAATTCCTCTTCTCTAAACTGATTCGTGCACATAGAAATCCAACACACACAATGGCTATATTTCTTTAATTAGTCCACTCAAATCCCTATGAAATAGATTTTTCTTCCCAATTTTTAAAATTCCTAAGCATTACTAATGTGTTTATTTTAAATTCATACCTTTCCTTCTGATTTGATATACAATTTTTAATCGGTTTAATAAAATCTGGATGGACTAGTTATAACTTATTTCAAATTTTATGCCTTGTATAGATTGATATAAAATACTTTTGCAGATGCTTCACCCATTGTTGTGATCACTTCATCAAGGCATGGATTGCGTTATGGAGTTCCATTTAAAATGGTCATGCCATTTTCATTAACTGACATGCATTTTGAGATTAAAAAGTTAAATTGCATTTTAATAATTAAAATTACTACACCGAAATCTGAATTGAACTAATTATTATGATAATATATAGATTGTACTTTATATATGCTAAGTTTAGAATGACGGCAATATTCTATTCGAAAAATGAGTGTGAAAAATTCATCATATATGATTCAAAAAATAAAGCACTTTTGTAGGAGTGATTTATAATTAATTATTTTCCTTAGATAGTCGATAAAATTAAACTCTTAAATTTATTAAAATATATAGTTTAAGCAAATTAACAACTTTATCTGAAATAGATATTTTATACAAGTTTTTTTGTGTTTTAAAAATGCTATTTATACCTTTATTATGGCTCAGCTTTTTTATAATTTCAGCATAAGTTTACTAATAGCACTCGTGTAATAATGGTCGATGCCTATTAAAAGTTTAAAAATAAGGATTAATTGAATGTTTTAAATACTTTGATTGATTAACATAATTTTCAATGTATGATGGCAACTTTATTAATGAAATTCACAGAAAGATTGTTCAATAAATATATTATTTTCAGGATTTGCTTTTATATTTGAAATGAATTCTTAATAGTTTTGATAAAAATCACACTAAATATAAATATCACTCCTGAGGTTCTGGCCTTAGCAGTCTAGGAATAAAACCTTTGACTAATTCAACAATCGGTATTTTTCTTCCTCCCTTTGGTTCATCATCATCATCAGATTCGCTTTCACTCTCTTATAAATCTTCATTTGCTTTGGTTTCTTTCTTATTCTCCTATTCATTTATTTCATCATCTTAATCAAATGTATTATCATTTTTTTGCTTTGCCAAATTAATCCATTCTAATTATACTTTTTCTAGATCATCAATTTTGGAGATGGTTTCTAATTGGGTTCTTGTTTAATTCTTAAATGTATTAACACAGATACTTGAACACAGTAAGTTTATCGAATTCTCTTGATTATGTTTGCGGATATCCTAATTAGCATGAATATAATAAAATTTAATTATATAGCCAATTAAGAAGGAAAATATAATGCAAATGAAGTAACAAATTGTTCTTTCAAACATATTCTATAAATAGCTGAATCAATATCATAATATTTTAAAATTTAGAGAATAGTGACATAAATTCAAGTAAGAGGGTTTACATTTTGATGATATTGATTTATGATTAAACTCAAAATTACTTTAATTTTAGAGCAATTATCTATTGTATAAAATAAGATGAAATTTATTAATCGATGTTTATATAAGTTTTCTGTAAATGTTATTAGAGACTAAATCTATGAGTTCGACAAGAGTGCGATTAGTTTAAGTGTTCGAATTAATAGCTTAAAAGATTTCAACGATTTTCAAAAGTTAAGAGACTTAAAAATACATCGAATTATCTATAATCTAAATGATTAAGCAGAACTAATGGAATTCTTGGCTGAGCATAATGATGAATGTATTAAGAAAATATTCGATCCCTCCTTTTTCATATGTAATTCTGAGTATAAATGAAAAACTTAGTTCGTGGTGTGAGTGTAGATGTTCCTACAATACTGAGGGATGGCAATTTTAGAAAGTTAGAGCAGAAGGCATTACTACAGATTTGCTAACATCTATTTAAATTGAAGACAGATCAAAACAAGACACAATTCTAAGTTTTTATGGTATATATGATTATTTTATTTTTATGCTCTAAAACACGATGGAAACATTAATAAAGAGGAAGAGTTTTTGAGTTTAGTGAAGGAGGAGTTAGATGATTTACAAAGCGTGATAGAGAATTCATTTAATTTTGAAGTGAATCATGTACTTAGTTATAATCCAAAATTCACATATGATTTACTATTTAAATTGGCAAATTAACAGAAAACTTTGAAAAGTGTCAACTTTAACATTTACAGATATGCAAATCCTTAATAAAGTGAATTAGATTAGAATAGAGAAATATTGGCTACCCTTTATTAACATGTTGATGAACAGTACAATACAATATTTTTGAAAAACTTTATATTTGAAGATAAATTTATCAAACAATAGAATTTGTCTGAAGGCATTGTCAGTTACTCACATGTAATAATCTAAATATGAATGCAATTTAGTTGGTAGATATGCTAAAATTGATGCATTTCAGAGGTTCCTTGGTCTTTGAGTATAATAAAAATTTGGAAAGGAATGTCGAATTCATAGACCAATTGCTATAATCTAGCAAATACATATTGTCTGACAAATATAAATTGGGAGAAGAGCACGAGTCTCACATTGTAGAAGGAGATACAATGCCACCTATAGATGTTTGAGTTATATTAGATATATATATAAATCATTTATGATTGATTAAAAATCCAACTTAAAACTGTTCTAATAAATAATGGGCATTGACCCAAGGATGATTTTACATGAATAAGGCAGTTCCATCAGTTCCTACACCTTTCATGAGTTCCTCTTGACCACCAGGATGTTTATTCAAGTATTTAGTAACGTCATAAACTTTGGAGTTGATAACAATCCATGCTGAATTGATGGTGTTATGTTTGGCTACCTACTCTCATTCGCAATGTCATACCTCCTCGATTGTACACTACTTTAAATCATTTTTCTTGCTACTATCACTAAGTTATTTCCTTAAAATCCAACTAGGAGAGATGCTTTCTTTAGGAGATTAACCGAACTTCGGAGATTCAGGTTCATTTTGAAATTGAATTGGCTTAACCGCTTCATTCTTTATAGAGTTTCTTTTTTTTGGTTGGATAACTAAATCATCAAAAATGCCTATTAAGGTGTCCACATATTTTTGATTCGCCTTTTTTATAGCAGTCAATTGGTAATCAACACTTTCCACTTTGCGTGCCCCTTTATACTTCTCCAATAGTATACTGTCATTTTTGATTGTGTAAGTATTACGATTTAATCTCACTTCATTCTTAGCTTAGTCCACTTAATACCTTTGCTAAAGTCTTCACATCTTGTCTCTATGGTATTGTGATGTATGTATGAGGTCTTTTGAATTCAACTATCTGGTCAATCTCATAATATTGATTCTCTTGATCTCTCAAAGTAAGGAGATCAGTTTGATATTTTTGCTTTATGTCATTTAGAATAAATGTAACCACTTCATCAAGAGTCTCTATTTCAACCTCATCTCCCATCCATTCTAAGGTATCCTATCTGTCTTCTATGTACAAATTGATTACCTCCTTATTATTCATAAATTATTAAAATTTCAATATATGTTCTATTGCTAATATTCACGAACCTTATATAAAATTCTGCTTAAAATCCAAATACCATCTTTAGTAAACTGCATATCACAAGGCAATCGTACTATAGACAAAGGAGAAATGAAAATTTGTAATTCATATTTAAAATTGACTTTACTAAATTCATATAGAAGTAATATTTGAAGCCATAGATTTAGAAACAGAAATAACTAAAGATGAATGGATGGATAATCATTAGAAAAATGACTATTTTCAATATTAAGTATGAAATATATTGTTCATCCTTCTTTAGTTCAATTAACAGAAGATAAGGATTGTGGATAATGTAAAATAGTTGATGGATTTATGAAAAACGATGAATAATAAAGAGGAATAGAAGAGGTTTTCTAATTCAAGATGGGCAACAAGAGAATTTACAAAATAGTTTTTTATCTTTTGAATATAAAATGTATATGGAAAAATTGTAATAATTATAATTATATTAATGTTTCAAACCAAATTTTAATCGAGCATCGAATTATTCATGTGGAGGTTAAAATTGTACTTATTATAATTTAGACCATAGAAATGAATTATGGTTTTAAATTCTAGAAATGCTCAACTAGAGTTTTCTTTTTATGAATTGAAGAAATGACTATATGATATTCTATTTTTCATTATCTTTATTGAAACACTGAAATAAGTAAGGAGGAGGTGATTATAAAAATTTCTGGCGTAGAATATAATCAAAAATTATCAGCATTTTTTTTTTTTGGAATTAAGAATATTAATTTCTTAAAAATAAATCGCATTTACCAGATGGATAAATTCCGATTAAATTTCATTGATATATAGAATCAAATAATCAAGGCAATTGAATTCATCAAATTTTCTAAATGTTCCTAGTAATATTAATCCAAACTCAATATTAATTCTAACTATACAATTTAAGGTTGAATTCAAAAGAAAAGTGTTAGTCTAATTACATAAGCATTCTAAAATTAATTCAAAGCTTACAATTATCGAAATATGCGTGATATAAAAGTTAATTTCTTGTTATTAATAATCAAATGTATTAATTCGTATTTTTTATGACATATTTTGTTTTAATAATTCTTATTTGAATTTGCACATCTATAGTAATACAATTGTTTATTTTCTGCTTTTTTGATGATAAAATGTGTGACATAATCAACATATTCATACATGAAACCAAAAATGCTAAAATTACATTTATTTTGATTGATGTCCATTATATTTTTAGTCTTTATCCTAATGTCCCTTTTCCTTTAGACTTACTGTCAGAGTGACTTTGAAAAATCAAACAAATTTTTACAATCTTAATAGGAAGAAGAATTTGATTTTTTGGTCCTTAGAAATGAGTCAGAAGAGAAACACACTGCATTTTACTATCACAAGTGGGCTAATTTTGTTGTTTGGGGAATTTTAGCAGATTTAGGCATCTTAGCTAACAGATATGGTTCATTAAGCAAACATAGATTAAATTTACATAGTATCATCATGGGTCTATGCGTGTTTCTTACTGTAATCGCAGAAATACTTATGATAGCTATCTGGAATCCGCCTGAATTCTATGGTAATTAGAATTTAGGTTCTATTCATGCTCCCATAGGATTTGCATATTTGGGACTGATGATATTATAGAGTATAGGAGGAGTAATATTAAAATTATGTATTGAATCAAGCAATCCACAAAGATATACCAAAATCATGTCCTTGGGTCACATCTATCTTGGATACAGCATGTATTTTCTTGGCAAAATCTAATGCGGGTTTGGATTCTATATAGTGTATAGTAACTTAAAAGGGGAAGGCGAAGGAAACTTAATTATGTTTTGGATAGTTTATGCTTTGTTATTCTTTTGGAGAATCATATTCGAATGGCTATATTAGAAGGGAACTCTTTTCGATTACTTTTATTCTGCAAATCAAACTATTGAAAGAACGGGTAGCATATAGGATTCCCTATTTGTGTAATATCTAATATAAAATGGTATTATCAACCTTTAAACATATAGATTAGCTGAATATTGAAAAAGAATATAGTAACAAAATGTGGTTTATTTTTAATAACAGCATTGTTGATTTGACAGGGTTTGTACATCCTGGAGGCCAATACATATGGGAAAAGACAAAGGGAAGAGAAATATCAAGATTCATCTATGGTGGGTAGAGCTTAGAGGATGGAAATACGGCAGCCTATACTCATTCTAATAGTGTGATAACTTTAATTTAAAGATAAACTATCGGACATTTAAATGGAAATTCTCATGAAAATGTGACTTAATAAAATATTAACAAATGGACTTTGGTCAATCATTAAAAGATATCTGAAAAAATAAGTCTATTTGGATTTAAGAACTCATCAAAATAGATAGAGTCTAAGTTTACTAATCTTCATTAATTTGGAAAATACTATCAAATAAAATCTTCAGTGAACAAAAAGATTTCTGAAAGGCAATATACTTCAGTGGTAAGTATGGCTCCTGAAAATGTTTAATATAGACAGAAGTTAATAAATATGATTTAGTAATTAAATAAGATCGAATCAGAAGATGCTGTATAAATGGGTTAGCAAGCAAGATATTTAAATGAATTGCCATTAATAATAAAGAAGTACGAGTCCAATTTCGGTTTTTCTCAATATATCCATTCCCATTTAAATGAGGATTATGAAATTGAAGGACCCTATGGACCTTCCTTAGGATTGCCAAATAAGGGTAGGGTCGTATTTGTTTGTGGAGGAACAGGAATTTTACCCTTTTTGGATTTATTAGATTTTTAGTTGTAATCTGCAACTTACCAAATTGTAAAGAAAAAATTTGGTCAAAAAGTAGCAGAAAGGTTGAATCCATTTGAATGTTAATTCAACAATGGTCTGCATATTACATTGATTTTTGCAATTACACATAAATCAGAATTAATAGGGTTAGAAATATTTAAAAATTTAATTTCTTTATAAAATGAGTTAGAGGAGCAAAGCTTTAGGATGATTTTGAAAATAACAGAATAGATTGAGGGCTTTACTTGTGTCAATGATAGATTTGATCAGGAGTTTATGAGATAGTAATTAGGACAGTTGTCTTAATATGATAAATTTTATGTGTGTGGGCCTCCTGCTATGAATTAAACAGTTCCTCAAGCATTAATGAGTTTAGGAGTTTAAGAGAAGTATATCCATTATGTTTGAGATGAAAGTGATTACTAATTGTTTAAGAAAATATTAATATATATTATTAATTTAATGTTCCTATTTTTATTATTATATTTGATAGAGAGTAGGCAGATTGAGAGCTGCAAGCAAAACATGGACTCCTTTCAGATTAAAGGTTTGAAAATGCACCTTCATAAGTGTAGGGATTCATTTTTGTGTGAGTGACCATCATTAAGCCAAAGAAGCTCGCAATTAGGTGTTGTAGGATTCTGTGAGTTAGAATAAAGTAAAAGCAATAGTGCAAGAGATAGAAGGTCTAGAGAATCAGAATCCGTTTTGGTATTCAGACTTGGCGATATATTTGAACATTGATGAAATTCATATAACAGGGGGTTTGATTGATCATTCATAGAATGTAAAATAGATTATCTAAACTTTCAGGTTAGCATTGTGAATCAATAGGTACGAATTACCAAACATGTTTATTTTAAGAATCTGATAAACAAAGAACTTATGATAACAAATATATTCACTTCATCTCCTCTTTTAAAGGTAGATTTTGAGAAGATCGTTTTACCATCCAATTCAACCACATAAAAAACTAAAGTTTGCACTATGATTTATGAGCAGCCACTTTCAGAAATCCGATCAAAAACCTTTGAAATTTGGTTGGCAGTAGAGATAGCCTATTTTTTAAGAGTGCCAGTTAAGTTGATAGTCTACGATAAACACTTAATGTGTTAGACAAAGTTATTAGGTCAATGTAGTGTCTAAGGATAGCATTCAACAGTTGAATTCAATAATTTAGGCATTTATTAACAATACACAAAAATATTCTCGTTTTATAATCCGAATCCTGTCAAAATTGATGTTTCTTATAAATAAAATGAAAGGAAAAAGAATCAAATAAGAGTGCTATTGGCAAATCGAAATGATATCAAATCAGCTTCAAAGCGTAAATTTTCATTTGAAATGTAACCTTATACAAGGACTGAATTGAAAGTCATAATCAATACAAATTACTATGAAATATTGTCCAATAGCAAATTAACTTTTAGAACTTAATATGAAATCATAGAAGTTGATGTGACTTATTCAGTCTAGAAGGGATCAGTCAATTATTATCCTTCTGTGATTACATTGGATCCAGGAATGACAACAAAGGTGCAGCAATTTGATATCTATGTAAGAAGCACTTTCAGCCAAAAAATTCAATTGCTCTAAGTTGAGAATCAATAAATAAAGCATCAGAATATATCTTTACTTACAATGGCAACTAATATTGCTACTAATTCTAGATCAGACATTCTTCATGTGGATTACATGGGTAAATAAAATTTCTACTCTGATTCTAAATATCACAAGTAGTAGGCAAAAGAATTACTGAACTCCTTTGGACGCAACAAAATAAAGATTTAAACTGATGTGTTGTAAGATTCCGAGATTCTCATCAATTATAAGTCAAATCAAAAATTTAATGAATAAATCTTAAAGAAAATCATTAAATAAGATCCAAAGATACTGATCTCTTAATAAACAGTTGTTATGTCAGAGTAACCGAATATTTTCTTTATAGTAATCTCAATCCTCAATATGTTGTACATTGCTACTTTGTTAAGAAATAATGTTGTAAAATCGAAGGAGTTAAAAATTACCATCGATAGTAATTTTTCTTAGGAATAGATTGATTTTCAATCTATTTTTAAGACTCCAGAATGTATTTAATTGCAAAGCAAATCTGAAACGAATGAGGTGGTTTCTGACAAAGCAGATGAAATATAAGACATGATAATAGCTGAAGACATTATGAGTAAGGAGAACATCATTTACACTAACTTATAATCCCAGATAGATGAGAGTTCTTCTCATTTCAGTCAAGGAGAGAGTTTGGATGATGATTAAATTTCAGAATATCAGGAGAAGGTAGTGGAATAGAAGAAGGTTCCAAATCAAAAGAATTTCAATCTATTTTAGCGAGTGGAATTCACTATACCAACATAACTCACTATGAATACTCAATCCTCTTAGGAATGTTGGGACACCAAGGATCCAATATTTTTACCATAAGATTCTGATGAAGAGATGTTGGACAAGAATAGTGTTTAGAGGTTGGAATCAATGTTGAATCAGATTCAACACAAGTTGCCTCAATTTGAGCAAAGCACACTAAAATTGCCATTAAAATGGAATGAAAATAATTAGATAAATCCATACTTTCCAAAACCCCCTCCAGGAATTTGAATGTAATTATTTTAAATAAAATCAATAAATAAAATTTTCATGAAATTTGTAATCGATGATCTTGAAGTCATTTTCCCATACAAATTTCTATATAAAGAATAGTTAGAGTATATGCAAGCACTCAAATAAACTCTAGATGAAAAGGGACATGGAATCTTGGAGATGCCTACAGGAACAGGGAAAACAGTCTCATTGCTAGCATTGATTATTGCATATTTGGCATAAAGACCTAACACTGTTAAAAAGTTGATCTATTGCACACGTACAGTTGTAGAAATGGAAAAAACATTAGAAGAAGTCAGATTGGTTTTGAAAGCCAGAAAAGCTGAAGGTCTTAACGATAATTTTACTGCTGTCGGATTGAGTTCAAGAAAAAATCTATGCATCAATCCAGATGTGATCAATTAAAAAGACAGAGTTGACGCTGAATGCAGAAAACGAACAGCTGAATGGGTGAAAAGGGGATAAAATGAAACATGCATCTTTTATGACAATTATGAAAAATCCGGCAAAGAAACCATTGCCAATCTTCCTCATGATGTTTACAGCTTAAATGATTTACGTAAGAATGGAGCTTATTCTATTCAATGTCCCTACTTTACTGCTAGAGAAATGGTCAAAAAGGCTAATATTGTAGTATATAATTATCTCTACTTGATTGATCCAACAGTTTCTTCATAATTAACAAAAGACTAAATCAAAGAGAGTGTCGTTGTGTTCGATGAGGCTCACAATATTGATGATGTCTGCATTGAAGCCTATACAGTGAGATTGAATAAGCCTATTTTGGCTGAAGCAATCAATAATCTCAAAGTTGTGGAGACTCAAATTTAGAGTGAAACTAATGAAATCTAAAATAGATTGAATGAAGAATATAAGAAATTGATTAAAAATTTGGAAAAGAAACCAGAGGGAGAATTGAATCAATTGGTTATCCCTGGACAGATTAGGAAAGCAAGAAATTTCATTGATTTCATGAAAAGAGTTATCAATTCACTTAGGAAGAAACTAAAGGATAATTCTGAGGCTTTAAAGACATCACATGCTATATTGCATAACACTAAAGGGTTTACCGAAGAAATTTAGAAGGAAGGAAATTTAGATATTGATTCTCTCAAATAATGTGGAGAAAGATTAAATCTATTGTTGAATACTTTGCAAATTGCAGAAACTGATAAGTTTAGACCACTTAGTTCAGTTGCGTAATTTGTTATGTATTTAGTATAATATCAGGAAGGGTTCAAAGTAATATTTCAATCAAATAACTACGAAGGGACATTGAATGAAAAATTAATGACTCTGGCTTGTTTTGATAGTTCATTGGCTATGAAAAATATCTTTGCACAATTTCAATCTGTTATTCTAACTTCAGGGACAATGTCACCAATTGAAATTTATCCTAAAATCTTAGACTTTAAACCAGTTGTTGCTAAATCTATTGATATTGAATTGACTCGTAATTCCATTCAACCTATCATTGTAACTATGTCTGAGGATGGAACTGAATTGACATCAGAATTTACCTTAAGAAACAATGAAGATGTGTCTAGGAACTATGGTAATTTTCTGCTTGAATTATCTGAAAATGTACCTGATGGACTCATTGTCTTTATGCCTTCATACAGTAGAATGGAGGAGTGGGCAAGGTAATGGTAGAAGGATAAGTATTTGGAATAAATTTTCAAAAAATAAAGTATTGTTTATAGAGTCGAAGGATGTAGCTGAGACATCATAAAAATTATAACAATATCGTAAATGTTGTGATGTTGGTAGAGGAGCTGCTTTATTTTCAATTGCAAGAGGTAAGATTGCAGAAGGTATAGATTTTGAGGGTCATTATGGGAGATGTGTAGCTGTGATTGGATTTCCAGCGTTGAACAGTAAAGACACTTTGATTTTGGAGAGATGTAAATTCTTAGAAGAGAAATTTAAAATAACAAAAAATGATTTTATAGAATTTGATGCAATGAGATAAACATGCTAATGTTTGGGAAGAGTTCTAAGAGGTAAGCAAGATTATGGAATTATGATTATGGCTGATAAGAGATTTGCTTAGAAAAGTAAATTACAAAAAATGCCTAGGTGGATTTATAAATAATTGGACTAATCTAGATGTTTAAATATTACTAGTGAGACTGCTATCACTGTAGTTCGAGATTTCTTTAGATAAATGGCATAACCTTTTAAAATTGCAGATAATAGTTATTTTACACAAGACACATTATGATTATATTAATAAAAAAAATTTAAATTTAATGATTGCGTTAAAAAGGTAGCAATTTCGAGCTAAGCAACGATAAATTGTACTCAATAAACTGTTTCAACAAAATAGAATGTCCTCTCTTCTAGTTTTCAAATTGGATAAATTAGAATAAATACTTACTCAACAACACTATGATTCTCTAGAATATTAAGTAATATCTAGCAATTTGAATTATTTAAGGAATCAATCCAATAAATCATAATGATGAGTCACAATGTCAACTTATCCTAGTTATATCATTTATTGATTCGGAATTTTATCGATACGATCTAATATTAAATGGATGTGGGCTATTATGTTTTAAGTGTTTAAGTATATTTCATGTGTTATTTTGATTTTAATAGTTTTAATCCATTAGATGGAAATGGCCTAACAGCCGATGCTGGTGCAATTAGTTAAAGAGACAGGTATACAATAATTTTTAGCTTTCAATGATCCAATGACACTATAATTTCTAGAATTATTTCTCATTTAAATGCCCGCATTAAACGATATGGAAATAGATACTATCTACAATGAGCTCTTAAAATGGTCCCAATCTATCAATCTAAATTATGTGATTTCTGCACTCAGTTGTCTAAATTTGCTCATAAGACTAAAATAGGAATTGCTATCCCCTGATCTCTCCATTTCCATCCTGCAATTACTCAATACAGAATATAGTTAGTTGGCTTTTGAAATTCTTCAACTATCAAATTGGCAGCATTTCAAAGAAGAATAACTAATATTGGTTTGGGATGAAATTTGCAAACAATTACTGAATCTAAATAATGAAGAAATTTGCATATCTATATTAAAGTCCATAGTTCAATTCCACACTCCCTACTAATTGAAAGAGATTTGCCAGTATCTGTAAGTGGCCAACGATTACTACGGCATTAAAGTAATGGAAATGTTGTCTGCAACATAAATTAATAGAAATTTTGACCAGATAACATCAGAATTACTAGATCAAATTAGTTACAGAGTCATCAGAAATCAGACCTTAGTACCCCTGTTGAAATAATTTCTATTCAAAAATGTAATAAACTCCTTTATTTTAATAGAAACTAATTTATGAGTCCTATAACTTCCCCCTGCAAATTGAATATTTATTATAATGAAATTAATATATATCTCTTTGTTGATTTCTATTTTATGGCATCCAGTCTGCTATTTGATAGATTAAATGATAGAGGATTACGATAAATCAACTGAATTGGTGACGGATAGTCATTTTTTCAAACATGCCATTAGATGGGATAGTTTGTTTTACATGGAAATTATGGAAAATGATTACCGATACTTCAAAAATCATGCCTTTGGATATGGAATAGTTTTATTAGGCAAACTGTTTTCAAACTCTTTAATCTGCATATTGATTTTATAGAAAATATGCAATGCTATTTCCACAGAATTAATTTACAAGATTAGTATGCATTACTCAAACAATAATCATAAATTCTCTTAATTATCAGCTTTATTATTTATCTTTACTCCTGCATCAGTATTTTTTAATTCACTCTATACAGAATCCTTTTTTGCATTCCTGGTGTTAGTTGCAATATATTTACAAATAAAGCAAAAGACCTATCTAAGTTCAATCATATTTGCATTATCAATTCATCTAAGATCGAATGGGATGTTCTTCATTCTTTATTCAGGATATCCATATCTAGTCAAGGCCATAATTCTGCTAAAAGATAAGAAATTCAAATAAGTTGTCTCAACTGCTTTGGAGGCTATTCCTATTGCGCTGATCTATCTGGTCAGTATCGGAGTTATGTTATATTTGCCATATAAGAATTACTGTTAATAAAATGAGATGGAATGGTGCAAAAGTATAATTCCATATGCATACGGCTACATATAGGTAAACATAGGATTAATCATTAGAAAAACTTTTGGGATGTGAGTTTCCTCTCATCATACAAGTTAAGGAAACTATTCTTTATATATTGGGGAATACAGGGTATTTTGATTTAAGGATTTTGGTTATACAAATGGATGACTAAATCATGTACAATTAAGAATAATATTTAAGGAATTTCAATAATATTACCTACAATCATTTTATTCATAATTACAACATTTATAGCGCATGTAAATTGCAGTACAAGATTTTTCAGCACTCAGATTCCGTTTTATTGGTGTTTAGCAGATCTTTTCTACAAAAAGGATGGTAAAATAAATAAGTGGGTATTATTTTACATATTGGAATTCAATTTGGGAGGCTTGATTCTTTTTACAAATTATCTGTTGTGGGCTTGATTTATAATATATGTTATTGTCTTAAATTATAAATTTATATAATATTAATAGTTATTTAATTCTAGATTTCTATTACTTTTCTAGGAATCCATTCCCAATCTTGAGATATTAAATTTGATAGATGTGAGAAACCTTAATTATTTTGGAGTAGCATTTTAGACTACATAGGATAGTCTTAGGCATTATGTCGTTAGTGTTATGCCTACTAATTTTTGATATGTGTTTCTATAAGTAAGACTGAGTAAACATCTCTAAAATAGAGGAATCTATATTATAGGCTTCACCTTCCACTTTGAAAATAGCACCCTTATTATGAATATATAAACCCAAGTCATAAATTTAAAAATATTTTCAATCTGAGGGTGTAATTAATTTAATAGAAATTTAGTTTACCAGAATTTTAAAAAGATTAAGATAGCAAAAATAAATTTAGATGGAGAAAGAGGTACTAACTGAATGATAGATTATTGAAGTTGAGCACATTCAAAAAATAATATTATAAGAGAGACTAAATGATCAACAATTGATAAATTTCTAAAGTCTACTCTATAGTAAACTCAATTTTAACATTCTGATCATGACACTGCCTTTAAAATAGTAATGATAAAATGGCAAAATAAGATTAGGAAAGGAAAATCAGATTTGAGAAAAGGGGTTCTATCAAACAGAGCTTGCAATTATTCAAGGTATATAATAAATATAGTCTTAATCAACAGAGCACCAAGAAGCTGAATTTTATTCGTTAGATATTCAAAAGATGTAATAATAAATAGAGAAATAACATAAAAGCAAGATGAGATAGAGAAAATACTTAGCAAATCTTTTATTATATATAAATTGTTATTTATTTATTTATAAATAAAAGTAAATATTAATAATCAAAAATGGGATAAGCCCATCCTAATCCTAATGGTCAATATGTTAAGATTTGCACTCTTTGTCGTGAATAAAAACCTCCTCATCATTTTCATTGTGGAAAGTGCAGAAAAAAAGCACTCATTGGTTTTGGTTCTTCATTGGGTCTTGTGATTTTAATTGTTATATCAACAGGATTAGATCTAAACAATGAATGGATATCATTTTTGAGTGTTCTTTGTATAGTTTCATTTTTTGGTGGCTGTTATTTTTGCTAAAGCAGACTCACAAATGGACAAGTGAACTAATATGTAGAATTTTATGAATGATATTATTTGTTTAACATTGAATTGCGATTTATAAAATTGAAAGTGTATTTTGTTAAAAAATATTAGTCCTATCTGCAAGTTAAGAGATTTCAAATTGCAATTATATTCACCTAAATTATCATATAAACATAATATATAATCCACAAAATTTCTATGATAAAATCTGAATAATAAAATAATAATAAAACTATTAAAGGAAAAATATTTATTAATCAAATATCAGCTCCACAAAACATGCAAAGTAAATCCGAATCTTCTTTTTATGATAATATGGCATCTTTGATGGCTGAAAATGGAATCTCTTCATGTGGTTCTTTCTCTACTACTTTAAATATTAGTCTAGTGTAATATTCGCATAGCATATCCAAGAAATCATCACTATTTTAAATGTACTTGGATAAACACACTTTGGATAACTGGAAGATTTCGTCCCAACACAATTACCCATTGCCATCCTTATCTGAAATTTAAATAAATAGGTCTAATTTTTAAACCAAAGTTTTGGCTCTAATACTTACCATCAATTTCAGGAATTCACTCCAATTCAAAAAACCACTATAATTAAAATCGATCTTATTGAAGATTTCCTAGGCCAAATATTCACTCTGCATAAATATCTAATAAATTCCCATTCTATAAGTGTTATAATCCACTCCATCATCAACTTTATAGTATCTATATCGTTGAGACGTGATTTATTGCAAGGCACAATAAAGTATATAAGTGTTGTGTAGTTCATATCTGGAGAAGTTTGTTTCAGACAGTATCTTTGGGATCCCCTCGATAAAGAGTTCCTTATTGATTTTTAATAATTTGTGGAGACTTCCTTTGTTCGTGATTAGTTCCCTGATGTTCTACTCGATATGGTTAATAGATTCAGGTTTTTCCTCTTCCTCATCGTTGTTAAAGTTGACTTCAGGTCCAACTTCTTGTGAGTAGCCACTATTTTGATTCAAGAATTTCTTTAATAGAGGTTCCAACAACTAGGCTGCTTAAGTTATCTAACTAATTGATGTAAATCTGATAAAATACCTTTCAATAGTTTATTGACTTGAAACACTATCAATATGAACAGCCATCAAATCCTCATTTGAATTCTCCTCTTCTGGTTTGAACTTAATCTTTTTCAATTCTTATTCGTACCATCCCTCTATTTTCTCCAATTTCTCTATTTTTGGATTTTTGATTATGTATTCATCATTCATGTATTGTTGGATATAATTTTTCTGTTTGACAGCATTACAGGGTTAGAACATTTTGTTGATAATTGGTTTAAAGTTTTTATTCCTCTTGATTTCCTTATAGGAGTGTTTGAGTTCTTTGGAGTTCATAAATTATTGATTGATTTCAATTTCTTCAGGGACCTTATCCACTTGATATTCATCATCGATTGACTGGTAATTTTAATGCACTAATGTATGAATGATGCTATCGATCTATTGAGTATAATCTGGTTCATTTTTCTTAGTGATTTCTTCGCAATTGTAAAGGGAACAGCAATTTTCGAGATAGAGCAATTATGGATTAAATATCTACTTGTAGACAGTAGAGGTTGAGTAAATTAGAACACTTTATTTTGGGGGAATATCTAAATGCGAGTAAACAGGAGTCCCGTCCTTCAAATAGAAGTATATTTTTTTGGAATTAATCTTGAGTCTATAGATAAAATTGATAAAAACCTATTCTTGGACAACTGATGTGAATTTCCTCGAAAACGGATTTGTCTTTGATTGAATGATCAGGGACATACATGAAAATATATTACAAGGAACTTGTGTTGAGATATAACTGATTAACAATTACAATTTGTCGCATTCTTAAAATAGAGATTACAACTACCCTGCTTATTTTGTAAAAAAGCGATCTCTGGTGGGTATCTGTTCCATCGTAATGGAGGACCGTTTTGCTCTTTGTGAAGTCACAATGGATCTCTGACAGACATTTTCTTGTAATCGAAAGCGTTAGAAACTTTTCATGAGGTTGTTTTCAATAGAATCCTGATTTATCTTCAATCGTTTGCCATGAAACTCAATCTTTTCTTAGTACTTGGTTTCTTCAATTGTTAGCGGCTTCATTTCTTATCTACTTTCAAAATGCTTTGTAATTAGAAATGATGGAGGAGTATCTCTAGAAGAGCTTTCGCGATTCCTGAAAAAGAGTTTTTGCACTTAGATTTCTTCTTATTGATTGTTCTATTTTCGATAATGTTGATAGGAGGATTTGCATTATTTATTAATGATATCTGATGAAGACTTATTGGATTTGATTGTGCTTTCTAATTGGGATTTCATGATTTTTCTAACTAAAGGCTATGATTGAAATTCTTTTATAGGCGTTACAGAGGGTAGCATATAATTATTTTATTAATATTTTTGTTACATACAGAAAACCAAACATTCAATGACGTTTTCTGAAGAATTTGATATTCTAATATATGCCTAGTTATTGTAGATCGGATTTGGTTTCATTTCGATTTCTATCGAATAGATATACCTAAGAAAAACTAGTATTCGGAATTTCCATTCTATTTATCTGTTTGTAGTTGTAAATGATAAGTTTGGCTAGTTCCTCATCTGAGATAGTGTTGTCATTCTTCCTAGCCATTGCAATGAAATCCATAGCCAATTGTTAAGAATAGGTGATGTGTTGGACATCATGGGTAGCTTTGGTTATCCATTCAAATTGATGTTTTTCTGGATGGAACTGATATCCATAGATGGGGACTTCTCTGCCTTCACAAATGGTGACATATTTCAAATTCACTCCGTCTCGGCTATAGGCTATGATTTTGAAGAATGCTCCCAAAGAGTAGGCTTTTTCATAGGTATGTTACACAACTCCCCAGTTATGAGAATAGTATGGTCCATCTATTAAATCAAAATGTATGATTACCAACATTCTTCAGATATTCCAAAGTGACGGAGTCGATGGATTTCAAGACGAAAGAATCTTCTTCAGAATTGACCTCAAGCAATCTTTACTTACCCAGATCATCAGTCATTCTGGTCAATACTTCATAGTAGGATGAAGCAATGTAATTGATCAATTGAAAACCTTGGCATATTCCAAGTAGAGGATAGAATTTGCCAGCCTTGTTGAATTGAATAACCTTCTGAAATATAAAGGATGCTGTGTCAGTAAATTTATTAAAAGTGAAACCTGGTTGAGTATTATTTAAATACAGGTCCACATCTCCTCCAGTGAATAGAACTCCATTAATCTAATTTAAGATGGAGGTAATCTCATCATAAGAACTATCCCAATGAATTGGAATCACTCTAGCCCCAGCTTGCTCAATCCATTTCACATAACTAGAAGGAAAATAGGAGTAGAGGGATTTGTCGTAATCTTTCAAATCAGAAGGGTTTGTTAAGATGCCTATAGTGGGTTTGGTGGTGGCAGAGATCACTGAGGAGATGAACAATGATGCAATGATTATTCTTAACATTCTTTTATTTATTTAATATTATGATTTAAATCAAATGTTGTATACGTCGTAGCCGTGCAAGAAGCGTGATCCTGGAATATCGAAATAAGGATAGGGATCCTTGGTTGCTCTGGTGTATTGATGAGCAGCTCTCTTCTTAAATGGAACCCTAAGTTCTTAATTCATTTATCATACCACACATCCTTTTGGTGATAGATGTCGGTGATCTACTTGATGTAATCGGATCCATGTTCAGCAAACAATTCCTCAATCAATATGCTCCTCTTGTCTTCTGCAGCCAGATATCTGATATCTTACATTGCTTAGTAAAATGGCAATGATTTCCTCTGCATCTTTTTCAACTCTAATTCTTTGCGTCTAATTTATTTAACCATTCAACTATACCTGAATTGTCTTCTCACTTCCACTATATGCATTATGCCCCACACTTAGAATAAAACACCAAATGCTAAGATTATTTTGCCTTTTCTCCCTGGGATTCTCCTCTTCTCTGGGAATAGCTTTGTTCTCAATTCAGAGGTGTCCCCAATAGCTATATGCAAAGGAGAATTAGCCTGATCATATCTTCTCATGAACTAAGGCTTAAATAAATTTGCCTATCTGAAAATTTTGAGCATAATATTAATAATAATCAAAATCACAATTATGCAGGTTTTTTAGAGAAATTTGATCTTTGAAAATGGGCAATCGTATTATTCAAAGGCGAGTTAGGAATCTTATTTAAGCAATCTATGTTTGATCTTTGACTCGATGCTTCAGTTACCAACTTTTGATTGCTCTTATGGAAATTAGAGATTATTCTTCTATTCTTCAATTGAGGAGCTTCCTGAAATTATACTCTTTCATATAAATACCTTCTGAGGTGCCTTTTAAGCATTCATCATTTTCAGTTTATTCATCATCTCTTAAGGATTCATCGAATTACTTTTTCTCAATTGCTTTTTCGTAAAAGTTGTTCTATTCGTCTGCACAAACGTTTCTGGTATCATATCTGTTGTATTTCTACTGCTATCTCCAACAAAAGAATTACTGCTGCTATCATTATTCCACACTTTATTTAATTTGGTCTAGGATTTCATCATTAAAGGACGAATCCTAAAATTATTTGATGCTATTGATAATTCTGATCCTATTATAGATACATTATCATGAGGTGATCCAGTTTCATTGATTTCATCGGTTTTACCAAGTGCATCTTTTGATTTGATCATCAAATATTTCAAAAACACAAACATCTTAATGTACTTGGCTATTCTCTATTCTTTCTTAACTTAGCATTAAATTATTTCATTCAATGTGAAAGGCACAGAGATATCTCCCTTCCCTGTAATCCAAGGATGTTCTAGACATTAATTAGCCGTTAAACGATGTTCTGGTAAATAGGCAATCGTTCTTTCCAAAAAGTTTCTTGTATCCTAATCCTCATCGATTTTAAAGTTCAGTGAAAATCCCTTAATTTTTTCACAATAAGTTATTTTAGTATCCCCATTTCGATAGAAGGGATGTTCTCCCTTGTATAGCATATTATACACCACTATTCCCAAAGCCCAAATATCTACCGACTAACTGTTATCTATCAATATATACTCTTGTGTAATTTCCCTTTTTAATCAATTCTGGAGCTTGATACAACAGAGTCCCACAATTCTTACTCATCAATCCGTCCTCAATTCGATTGACAGATGCTGATAACCCGAAATCAATCAGAGTCACACTCAACTCCTCTCCATTCCCCCCAATTAAGATATTCTCAGGCTTTATGTCTCTGTGAACAATATCTTTCTAATGCAAATAACTCAAAGCCCTCAATATTTGCTTAATTATTGGAGTAACTTCATGCATCTATAATTTGGGTATGTATTCTTCCAAAGTCACCCCATCCACTTGATTCATGACTATATAAAACTTTTGCTGTGTCTCAAAAAACTGATGTTAAGTTATAGAATAATTATCATACTCCCAAAATCTATATGATATTTTTATGGAACAATGTTTAGAGAGTGAGTGCTTCCTGACGTATGGCATCCTCCTACTCCTTACTTCTGAACAACTTTTTTTCAACAATCTTGATTGCAACATTAATTCGCTTAACCTTGTCAAAGGCTGAAATAACCGTCGCAAAAGCTCCTTTCCCAAGCATCTGTCTTGGTTCAAACCTACTCAACTCAGGGGAGTAATTACTTTCTTAATTCATTACCTGTTTAAGTAATTAAATATAAGACATTTTAAATTATAATTAAATAGTAAATTAAAATTATCAATATATATACAGTATGTACTTTTGTTCAATCGTTTATAGGCTTTTTCTAAATTGGAGGCTTGCTTATTCTTACCCTTTGACTAGCCAGCACCTCTTGTTAAACGAGAATATTCTATCCTCTTGATGCAAAGGTGGTCCTCTTTAACTGAATTTATAGTGATTAATTCATACTTATTGCAGGGGCTTCACATTATTCAAGGATTGTCTGCCATCTGTGATACCTGATTTCTGTAGAATTGATGACTGATTCAAAGAATTATCGGATGTCGTGTTAATGGTGTGATTGGATTTAGCACTTCTTTCCAAAGATCTATGATAATGAGGAAACAGAAATTTTGAAGATTCCTTTTGCTACTGCAACTTTTACAAGTGATCACATGAGGTTCTTTCTCTTCTTTGAGTGATGGTTTAGATTTTGAATTAGGAAATTCTATTTGATCCAATCGAAGCAGTATCAACATTAGATCCTTAGAGCACTTCCTATTTCAATTACTTAAACTTCTCATTGGTTTGAGAAATAGATTATTATTTGACCTTCGGAATCTTTATTATCCTAACTGGTGTTTTAGCTACTGGAGTTGAGTAATGTTTGAATTGATCAACATTGGGACACAAGACTTTGAGTTTTTGGAGAAACTGGATTGCTTGGATCAAGGACTTGATTTTTTGAAAATTGCTGTGACTTCTAAGGATTTCGATAAAGGTGAAAGGCTCAGTAGAGTTTTCTTTACCTGTAATCCAAGGATGTTCTAAACATTAATTGATGTTCAAACGATTTTCAGGCAAGAAAGCCACTGTCCTAATCAAGAAATTAATTGAATTGTTATTCATCCCTGGCTGCCAATTCCATTTCATTTACTAAATCTTTTCACAATAAGATTCTTTGTCATCAAATTGTTAGTAAAATGGATGCTTGCCTTAAGTTAAGAGATTGTATACCACAATACCCATTGCCCATATATCCACACTCTGACTATATAAGGGAATGATCATACTCTGTTATATCTCTTTTTCTATATCAACTCTGGAGCCATATACAAGAAAGTCCCGCAATTGTCACTCATTAATCCAGATCCTTCTAGATAGGTCAATTGAACTGAGAGTCCAAAATCAATTAAGGTTAGTTTAACGTCTTCTCCCACCTGAGAAATCATGATATTCTCTAAAATAAAATTTATTCCACATACCCGGCTTAATGTCTCTGTGAATAATGTCCATGGAGTGCAAATAGTTGATTGCCTGTAACAATTGTGTCACAATGTTGTGTACTATCTAATCTTCTAGTTTGTTCTATTAAAATTATTCCAATGTAACTCCTGTGATGAGATCCATCATTATATATAATTTACTTTTGGTTTCTTTACTCTACAATAACACAAAGCAATCATACAAACGTAACTCTTACAATATTCTAATGATTCAATTGATTTAACAACTGAACCTCCTTCTTTAACATTTCCAATTGCAAAACATTGAAATGCGATTTCTCTATTATCTTTAGTGCTCCCTTCTTATTTGTCATCAAATTCTGTATCTCCACCACTGTAGAAAACGCCCCTTTCCCAAGAATTCTCAGAGGCTTGCAGTATTGCGTAATGAAGTTTGGTTATTTCTCCTCCGAATCAATTAAAAGCTCACTTAGTTTGTTCATTTATAATAATATGAATCATTTATTTG